CAAACCCCCCCCCCCCCCGTAAAAAAAAAAAAAAAAAGAAGTGTTTGAGGATAAAAAGAAAAATAAAGAGGAAAGGATAATCCCAGGTGTGTTGTGTCCTTGAACAGATAGTATGCATTTCTTGGAATACTCTGTAAGACACTAAGAGGTCTCTCAATTGACAATATCTACGGAGATATAACACCTTTGCGTTTAAGGAACTAGAGCCAAGATGATCATAGATACAATGTCATAATAATTTCTTAAGGTAAAAAACAACCATCAAATAGTACATAATTTCTTTTTTGATAAGTTAAAAAGCACATAATTCTTACTACTAAAGTTTAGTATTTTCCTTTAAGTCTTAGTTCATAAAGCATCTCTGTATCATAGTATCAAACCATCATACAAATAAATCAGACACCAAGGTACAAACTCAAAGAGAGGCAAAGTAAGGTCAAAATCAAACACAACTATGACTCAATCTCAAACTAGTTCGGATCAGCTATATGAAATCCTCTATATCCATTATTATTGGTCCTATTTCTTCTAGTCAAGCCTAATTCACTCCAAAGCTCGTAAAAATGTTGTCTTTATCGCAAATTAGGGGTTCTTGAGAATAATAAAATATCACCTTACCTTTCACAATCATCTAAGCTTCTCCTTTGCAGAACTCTTCTTAGCTGCCTCGTTAACCTTCTCAATATAACCTTCAATAGGCGGCGTTAAAGTAGCCATAAACCGATTCACAGGGAACGGTGTCAAATCAGGGACCAAAGCAGCAGCTTTCAAATTCTCGGGTAAAGCCTCAATCGCCTCTTTCTTCAACCTCAACAATGTCGTCTCAGCAGCTTGCCTCTGTCTATGCTTACGCATTAAAACCCTACTGTACTCCTTTGCCAGCCTCCTTCCATCTTCAACTGTCATTTCGTACTTGGGAAGCTTCTCTACATCAACAAGCCCAAGTGAAATCAAATCCAAACCCGGTGGCCCAATTGGCCATGGATTTTCAAACTCCTTCTTCATCTTGTTCATCTTTTTTAGCTCTTCATCTCGAGCTTTGCTAATTAATCCCATTCTCTCTCTTTCAGCTTCTCGGGCTTGTTCTTTGGGCTTCAATGATCTCACTGGAGCAGTAGACGATAAGCATTCTTCAACCATTTCGTCGAATTCGTTTTTTCTTCTCGGTGGTTCTTTCATAGCGGCTTCTGCGCCTTTCTTCGTTGTGACTTTTGATCTTTTCAGTGGTTGCCCTGCTTTGAGTTTGCCTTTTCCTTTTGCTGTTCGACTGACGAAGCATTTTTGTATGAAATTGTGACCTAGGGTTTCGATTGATGAGGTCAAGGGTTTGGATTTTGCGATTTCGGTTATTCGCATCATCTTGAGATCACCGTCTGGCTCTGCAATGAAAAGTGAAAGTGACGATGTAATTGGAAACCCCTCAAAAACCCTTCTTGGGTCGGGGCAAATATAGAAATTAACAAACAACAAGGGCTTCTCAGAAATATCCCCTTTTCTTTTTAATTTGGGCTCATAATTTGCTGGCAGTACTTTTTTCCGTCTTAAATTCGCAGTACAAGGATTAGCATTTAACTTTGTGTGAAAATATTAGTCCATCATTTTTGAAACGGAAAAGGGCCTGATATATTCCTCTACTTTGTTTTATTGTTCAATCCTGTCCCCCGTTATACTTTCCGTCCAAATTTACCCCTGTCGTCCATTAAAGTTCTATATTTGCCCCTATTTTAACGGTCGGGACACGTGGCACATTCTGAATACGGTAAAAGGGNCGTGGCACATTCTGAATACGGAAAAGGGCCTGATATATCCCTATACTTTATTTTATTGTTCAATCCTATCCCTCGTTATACTTTCCGTCCAAGTTTACCCATGCCCTCCATCAAAGTTCTATATTTGCCCCTATTTTAACGGTCGGGACACGTGGCATATTTTAGGAGAAAGAACCAGTACAAAAACAAAAAAACTCCAAACCGCCCTAGAACCCATGACCCGCATGCTCGTTTTTCCTCTCTTAATTTTTTTCCAAACTTCTCTTAAATAAAAACTTTTAATCCGTGTAAGAGATTATCTTAGTCTCACAAAGAGATGAGGTTCAAAGACACAAGGTTCTGTCATCTCTTTGCTTGTTGCCACCATTTTTTTCTTTACTTCTATTTTCTTACTCCTCACTCCCTTACATTTTTTTCTTCCTCTTGTAATCACTGAATAAAACTCCACCTTTGAAAACAAAACTGCTCGAAGTCGCCCACAATTCCTTGCATATGTATTTTCTTTCAATCTCATTGATTTAAGAAAAAATTGAAATAGGTGTGGCAGAAAATTTGAAACTTCAGACGGGCTTGATGGAATTCTTTCTCCGGCGATCTCAAAACAACGATAGGAGGTTGGGTCCAATTTCGAACAGTTCAATGAAGCTGGGGAAGTAATTTCTACGGCTAAAATAAATATAGTAAGATTTCATACATGCCCAAGTACTCAAGACCATTCACGAAGTCACGCCGGCGCCGGAAATTGTGTCTTTGAACCTCATCTCTTTGTCAGACTAAGATAATCTCTTACACGGATTAAAAATTTTTATTTAAGAGAAGTTTGGAAAAAAATTAAGAGAGGAAAAACGAGCATGCGGGTCATGGGTTCTAGGGCGGTTTGGAGTTTTTTTGTTTTTGTACTGGTTCTTTCTCCTACAACATGCCACGTGTCCCGGTCGTTAAAATAGGGGCAAATATAGAACTTTGATAGAGGGCATGGGTGAACTTGGACGGAAAGTATAACGAGGGATAGGATTGACCAATAAAATAAAGTATAGGGATATGTCAGGCCCTTTTCCGTATTCAGAATGTGCCACGTGTCCCGGCCGTTAAAATAGGGGCAAATATAGAACTTTGATGGACGGCAGGGGTAAATTTGGACGGAAAGTATAACGGGGGACAGGATTGAACAATAAAACAAAGTAGAGGAATATATCAGGCCCTTTTCCGTTTTTTAAACTATGTAGTATAAATTATCACAAGCCGAAAATTCTAGCGGAAGAAAAAAATGTTTCATTCTCCAAATACTATTAGTTTCTATGATAAGGGACATACGAATTTATTTTTTCTAAATATTTTTACAATAATATTTAGCTTCTTTTGCTAGGATTGGAAATATTAGATTTGTATATAAAAAATAGGTGGGAATTAGTTTAGGTTATATCGCATTTTGAAATTCTTTTAACTTTGTGAGCTATACCATCAAAAGTTGCAGGGCAAAGATTACATTTAGCCCGCTGCCGAAATTATTTATATTTAGTAACCGTAAAAGCGTATAAAATTTGTTTGTTTTTTATTTAACTTATATCTACAAAAATATTTTTCGGTTATTATTTTAAGAGGAGTTATACAATGTCATTTTCTGAGAGTTTTTGTAATGGGAGTGGTAAGTTACTACTACATCTTACCTAGAGGTATCCGATTTAAGTGAAGTGCTTTATTCCCAAAGTGAGACTTCTTGGCTCAAAACCAGATTAGTCAGACCCTAAAGCGTATACCACTCTCCGAATGGGAAAAAAAGAAAAAAAAAACTTGACTAACAAAACAATTTGGTGCAGAAAAAAATGCATCAGAGGTTCATAGAAACAGAGTGGATACTATATAATTTATAAGCACAATGAACTGTAAGGTAAATACATAATTTTATTTGAAGATTTGCTCAGAATAGAAGAAAATTACATCAAAATCTACTCTACTTCACACGAACAGATGCCTCTTGTACAGAAAATTAACAATCTGAACTGGCATTGCCATTGTGCGCATTTATTCAGTTCCTGCAATCTTCTTCTTCAATTGCTCAATGTCTTCTGCCAATTCTTTTCTACTTGACTGTCAGCAACAACAACAAATTCAAATCACTAATAAAGCAAAACAATGTGCCTCTAAGATGCAAGTATTTGACGTGGAATAGCTATTAGCTTTTCTCAAGAGAGCACCTTGAATTCTCCTATATTACAATCACAACAAAACCAGTGTAATACTACAGGTGGAGTCTGGGGAGGGTAGTGTGTACACAGCTTTATCCCTACCTTGGACTTCTCCTATATTAGTTGAGTATATTTTATATGGAGTCGACTTAGTTCACAAAGGACTTGCTACACTATGCTTCATGTCATGGTAAAAGATGCATTACGGACCTAAAGGTAAAATCCATAAATTGATGCTAAAAGCAGATTTCTCAGACAATTGAACTGAACATGGATAATATTGAGACAGACGGTGCGCGACAACCTTAAAGGAAGTATCTCTGGTTTGATGGTGTAGAAGGAAGTGTTGGGGGATATAATGTAGAGAAGACTTAGAAACTAACTCAAATTAAAACCTTTGTTTCGTCAGTTCAGCATAATCTAAGTTTATTCTACAAAGAGTACTCCTTACCTAATCAGTCAGTAAATGCCATGGTCCTAAAGATTAATTCACAACTATGCAAAAGTATACAAGGTACATAGCAGACCACCTTGCAAACTCAGGCTATGAATTTGTTGAAGTTAATTGACAGACAACCTCTAAGGTCACAGGACTAATGGATAATAACACCCACCCCCTTGGAGGAAGGTTAATGGCATGTAGACAGAGAGAGTAGGCTCTCTACTGCTCGTTTGGTGGTTGCGTTCAGCGCTTAAAAGATGATGTGAGTAGCTACACAGTCCGAAAATCTTACCTTGAATAGAAGATAGCGGTAGACAAACCACCCAGTATATCCAAGGCCCACCAGCTCCATTATTTTTGGGAGCTGCAGAAAGAGGAAGAAAGATTAACTTATTTGAATAGTTGAATGGAACCACAAAAGAAAATCCATTAAAAAAACAGCCTCACTTCGTCAGACAGAAACAGACTATTGTTGGGAGAAGACCCGAAACAAAGCTTAAAGCAGTTCAGAGAGCAAGATGATTATCTTATCACATTAATTAACATACCAGAGGAACTGAGTTGATAGCACCAACAACAATTGAAGACAGCCAAACTGCAACAATTGCTCCACCTCCATAAACTATAACTGTAGACTTGTTTTCAACAGCATCCCACTGTGAGCCATTAACCAAAAAAGCTCATTATGTTAGCGCCTAAATAAACCATTTATAAAAACTATAAAGCAGAAAGCAAACACACCGATATAAGGTTTTGCCGTATGCTATTTTACAGGAACAAGCAACTTACACTCTCACAGATTGGACTATGTACAGAAAAATGTTATGTATTCTGAATAACCTTAAAGCTAATAATGCAGCCAAGAGAATGAGTGCGTGTAGCAAATGACTAAAGTGAGTGCAATAGAAAAGATTTCAGCTGGCAAGTTTCCAGTTTACCTTTTCTTTTAGATCTGTCAACAATTCACTGGTATCAACAGCACCAGATTCTTCTGATGAAGAGGCTTTAACATGGAGTAGCGAAGACCTCTTGGGCTCTGGTAAGAATATCAACATAAGATGACGAGCGCAGCAACACAAATAAGCATTGAACTTCAGTATATAGCAAACAGCACACTTATGCTTAATTGCTTATTACTTTTATGTCAGGTTTAACTTTAAGTAATTATATCAAAATCAGCAATAAGCGTATCACTTTCATCTGATCTAGACCTTTTCTGCACCAAATTCTTATGACTGCACGGAAGAATAGAGTTCCAGCTTCTGGGCAGGGACTTCCGTGTTCTTGGAGATAACATGATAATGCCCATGAGATACTTTATCATTACTCATTAGGAAATGTGAAAAATATTGTGTTAAAGTTAAGATGACGTTAAGCCATTTCACTCCCTATTTTAAGACATCCAATTGAGAAGTCGTTCAACAGAGCATACAGGGTTAACTTCCACATCAAAGTGTGACAATCTTGTAGATAAATCACATAGAGTCCCTCGTCTGTTGCAAAGAAGCATGACAAAAATTTGAACCTCTGAAACCAATGGAAAGTGACAATACACATAAATTTTACCGAAAGCGGGTTAACTGTAATCTACTTCACCAAAAAAATAAAATAAATCAAAAGCAGGTAAAAGATAATAGATATAGGTTCAACAGAAGCTATCAAAAAGTAATATTCATGACTCTAGTGAATGTGGAACAAAATCAAAATCAATTAGCTAAATTCAAGTTGATTGCAAATTGAAGATATCATTTTTCCTTTTCTTTAAAACATAAATGATTGTTGTTTCCATGCTAGCTTGTCGCACCACGACTAATCCACAGTGCAGTCTAGTACAGGCCACAAGCAGAAGTGTCAGGTCAACTTGCCCATCAATATTTGAGAAGATGGACCGACACTGAGTAATGTAGCTGTTATTAAGACCTCGGATCTCCAAGTTGTTCCTCCTATGCCTGCCTCAAGAACTGTCATTCCTTTGGGATAATATCGTGTTCCCTTACTGTAAGGGCCCCTTAAGGTGGTGCCAAATGCTTTCTTATGACAGAAGAATCAGCACTAC